CTTGGGGATATTTTGCCTGTACTTTCAACATCTTTTTAATTATTTCTTTCTTCCTAAACATTTGTATTTTGCACTTTATCATTTTCATTCTTTCTCCTTTTTACTCTGTCTTCTTTAAAATTTTATTGTGCCAAAGGGTTAATTTTACAGTCTATACATTGTTGAGGAAAATGTTATTTATCCTAAGTTTAACCCTCTTGGGGTTTAATGCTAGCACTGTTAGTGACGTTCTTCCTTGTTAATGGTGTTGAAGAGGGCACAAGTATAATTGTGCATTGGTTATTAAATTTAATTGACACTATTTGAGATTAAATGTTGCACTGTTATCTCAAAGATTTATAAATGCTGTTTTGTCTTTACCTCAAAAGTGACGGAAGCTAACCAGACTGATATGCATGTTATGTGGATCTTTAAACTGCAATGCAGAGTAGTCTGTATACATTCATACTAAGGTTCAGTCAAATGATTGTTACTAGCAAATTTATGAGTAATTTACTGTCTATATAGTAAAGTGGCATGTAAAGAAACAAATGCTTAAAAAAAACAAATAATTCACAAGAAGTCAAAAGTATATGTGAAACATGACTCAGTGTCAAAGCACTTAATAACCAAAGGGATAAAGTGAGGTCATTTTTATTTTCCAGAAATGAGGTATTTTACTGAAAATAATATACTTTTTCAAAATAAATGTGAGGACTTCTATTTTGAAAAATTGTATCTCAGTAAAATGACATAGTACTCCATATTAATGTACGCTTTATGAATGTATAGATGTCTTAGGTAAAGTGTTATCAATTTCTTTGTCATATAATAATAATATAGTAATGTTTAATGCAGAACATGTTATGAAGTGTTTGTGTAGGATGTTATGAATGTGTTATGTAGACACGTAAAGAGTTACGAAATATTTAAAGATAATGAAATGAATGCAGAGTTTAGTGATGGGTGACTGAACATTTCATGCTATATAACCCTGGACTGCTGAAGTAAACTCAAAAGGAACTACATTTCTAGGAGGTGGAATCGTTTGTTGCAATTATAATTAATAATAATGAATTATTTTCACATTTATATATTTTAGTAACCACTCGAGGTGATTATATCACAGGTAAGGGGGTTTTAGGCATGACACAAGACCCCTTGGCGACATGGGAGCCACCAGAGCTGCTAGAGTCACCAGAGCTCCATCTCTGTTGGCTGATCTGCACCGTTTTGACCACCATGGAGTTTCATGCTGTACAAAGCTGTGCAAACCTCACTTGCATGAACTGACCTTCCTGCTGCTGCTGCATAAACTCAAACTATCTAATTAACCGTTGCTTCACCTGTTTTCCCTGTTTTTGCATTCTAATATTTTATACTAATGCTGTTTGCTGTCCGGTGTTGACCAGAGGAGGATGGGTTCCCCTTTTGAGTCTTGGTTCCTCTCAAGGTTTCTTCCTCTTGCTCTTAGGGAGTTTTTCCTTGCCACTGTTGCCATTGGCGACGCTCATGGGGGCTTGGACCCGGATTTTTCTGTAAAGCTGCTTTGTGACAACACCTGTTGTAAAAAGCACTAAATAAATAAACTTTGACTTGACTTGACTTGACAAGACACAGCCTCTTGTGATTTTAATAAGTTTATTCTGCATATTAATTTGATTATAACTTCATTCTGAATATTAATTTTTACCAGAATCGGAGAGGCATTCAGATATTGATCTGCTGTAACTCACTGTATTTCCTAATATCATGAAGACACTTCATTACACAAGCACAGGACATTTTTTCAGAGCAGATAAAAGAGCAAACAGTCCACAGGGTCACTCACCTCTCGTCCATTTCCACGACTGACCTCAGGACCTGGGGCTACGCTTCACTAAATATCACAAATATGAAACCAACTCAGCTGTTAAAAGGTAAGAATTCTCATTAACAGCACTTTAATAACTTCAGTATGATTGGAGTCTCTCATTTCTATCCACAAACAGTAATCTTTCATGCTTGGTTGTGTTTGGAGGGAAAGACCAAATCTGCTAATTATTTACTAACATGGCTGATCAAAAATACTAAATCTGATTACAGTATTTAACCTCTTAAAATCCCAGGCTTATTACATACTAAGCCTTATTATTCAGTAACTACAGGGACTTCAGTGCAAACTGGTTGAGCTATTCTTAGGATATAGAAGTGTGTAATTAAACTCTGGGCCTCTCAGTGTTTTCCTGGCCATTCAAAAAAGGAGAATGCATGCAATGAAAGCACCCAATACCCCACTGTTAAATACTGTAGTGGATCGCTAACGCTTCGCATCTGTTTTGATGCTGGTGGCCCTGGGGCTTGTTTGAAAATCAATGATGTAATGAATTCCACTAAATATCAGCTGATTTTAGCCTTAAATCTGTTGGCCTAATGACCCCAAACACACATCAAAATGCACACAGAAATGGTTTTGCATCATCTTAGTTAGTTGCATCTCTAGATTTGAACCCAATACAAACCCAAAATATGTGGTGTGTAT